AGGATTTTCTTCATAGAAGTCACAAGCTACATCTAGCAGTTTTCTGGAAGATTGGATTCTGATTCATTCAATTGGTCATCCTTGTTAGCAGGATGTCAGTGCTTTGATTATACACTAAAATAAATTGAAATTTCTTTCTCTGTCTCTAGTCCAATTTGTTTCTAGCAATCTGTATTTATTTTTTTTTTCAAGGGATTACTCTTCTGCATCTGAATTATTAGTATTTTAGAGTCAATATAAGCCATATTTTTGAAAGTGTTTAGTACCAGAGGTTTATTCTTAGATGAATTTGCTACTTTAGAATTATCATAGACTACTAACATGTACTTAAAAAGGTAATGTAATGTATATTTCTGGTACATTAACATCTCCTTTTCAGTGAAATATTTATAGGCCAAAATCCATCAAATGTTTGATTTTTCGCAGGATCTCTCCACGGGAAAAATCATTATCAAATCAAAAACATTTATCTCGGAGCCTCTTAGCAACCATGACGCAAGTTGCACCGACGTCCGATAATAGTTTACAATTACTGCTTGTCCATATATAAATACAGATAGAATGAGTAACAAAGAAAGAGATAAAAGCAATTAAAATAACATCAAAAGATTCATTCATACAAATTAATATTGATTAATAACTGAACATAATTAGATTTTATAAACAAACTCTTAATGACAGACTGCCAAGGTTAATAAACAGCTGGATTGGCAAAAGTATCAGCAATTTGTAAAATGTGTCAACGAACAAACAGATAAAAGAATATTGACCAATCGTATCTCTTCAATCAAAATTGTTTATTGTCAATCTGAATTTAAACATCTACAAAACAACTGGCAATTCACCAACAAAATGATTAGATTGAAACATTTTGCGTTTCAATTTTTTCATGATACTCATGTACAATGCATTCTAAACAATATACTAAACCCCTTAGGTAAAGGTCACCATAGGCGGATTTGACATATATTTTTTAGGCTTTTTTGGTTTGAATTCAACCCTTGTGCATACAAAGAGACGAGGAGTACATACTTCAAAGTGACAGCAACCCTTAAATATGAGCTAAAATAAAGTTGTAAATATTTGAATTCCCATACTTTTGGAACTGACGTTACTGGGCTTTGGTGACGATGGTTATTTTTGAAAAATGCCTATAGACTATGACATATTTAGTAAGTATGGGGAATTTCCTTCTTCTGTACAACAATTAAGTCTATCGCAATATAGCTGACAACGACATAAAAAAAGCATACAATACAAAAACACTACAACAAAAAACTATTAAAATTGAAGAGATGGGTTGCAAGAATAATAATATTATGACTTAAGTAGTAAGTGAATTCAGCTGATCCACAAATCAAAAATAAAACAAAGGAAAAAGTTCTAATGTAAAGATATATATATAAATAAATGAAATACATAAAGAAATGAACTTTTAAAAATATTTAATAATGGACTGTCTTCAAAATGTCTACAGTATACTGCTGTGAAGTTACTATAAAGTATTCATTGGTTGTTTTTTTTTAACAGATTTTAAATATAATCATTTTTTGATTATATATATATAATAATAAGGAGATGAGGTATAATTGCCAATGAGACAACTTATTATATATCCATCGAAGTTCAAATGAAGTAGATGTAAGCAACTATAGGCAACCATATCGCCTTCAACAATGAGCATATGTTAGCATTTGTTTATACTGATTTATTGATTGTTGGTGCTTAACGTGATTAGCCAACACAATTAGCCATAGCATATTGCAGCCAGTTTGAAAAATGCATTCCTTGTCCGATTTTGGCTATACTTTAGGTTCTTTTGGTTGATCAGCTCTTCAACATTTTTATTAGGATTAGGATTTTAAAATATTTTGGCATGGACCATCACTGAAGAGACATTAATTGTCGAAATGCGCATCTGGTGCAGTAAAATTGGTACCGTTTATATTATTGCAGAATTTAGTAGAAGAATCAAGGGGAACAAATTAGTATTTGTAAGCATTTAAGCTTGTAATTCCCTGCAATAGGATTACACAACAACAAAAAGAACCTAATCCTTTTACAAGAACAAAAGTCAACTCAAACCATATCAACCGAACACACTGACGTATTCAATTGCACTGTTTACACAAGCTTTGGGATGGAAATTATATTCTATCATCAGAATTCCCAGAGAGTGTAGGATATTGACTTGGCTATATCGTTGCAGCCAGTATTAAAATTGCAGAATGTAGCAGAGGAAACAAGGGGAACAAAGTAGTGTTAAATAAGTTGAAAATAAACTGGGAACACCATGGCAAAAAAAGGAAAGGACCAAAAGACAAACAACAGTATACACAACATAGAAAACTAAAGACTGAGCAACATGAACCCCAACAAAAAACTGGGGTGATCTGAGGTGCTCCAGAAGGGTAAGTAGATCCTGCTTCACATGTGGCATCTGTCATGCTACTTATGTAAGAACAAATCTGGTATTAAGTCTTATTCAGTAGGTCACATCTGAGGAAAAGAGGACAGGATTGTGGTTACAACAATTGGAACATATCCTTTGTCATGTGTGATACAGATATTACGTAACAGTCAACCAACTCTTGATGGTGTCCGTAAAATTTTCAAAGGAATGACATAAGCTTGCATTTCCCAGCAATGGGATTATACAACAACAAAAACCTAATTCTTTAAGGAGAACAAAAGTGATCACACACCGTATCAATGGAACAAACTGACATATGGGTTTTGCTCATTGTTGAAGGCCGTACGGTGATCTATAGTTGTTAACTTCTACGTCAACAACTCTCTGGTGGAGAGTTGTCAATCATACCACATCTTCTTATTTTGATATTCATTTGCACAGTTTACACAAGCTTTTGTATGGAAATTCTATTCTTTCATTAGAATTCCCAGAGTATTGAGATGTCCGTCACACAAACACAAAGTGGATTAAAATGTTCCGTTGTTGTCAGAATCAATGTAACTTACAAAGAAAACAGATCAGACTCGCATTAGGCAGACATCAATATTCTGAAACAAAATATATTTTTATTGGAAAACAAAAACGGAGTTCTTTGTTGTCTAGATCTCTTACAAACAAACATGGATAAACTCATATTAAACTGAAGTTAATATTACAATTCAAAAACATTTCAGGGATGTGTTATGTCATCAAAATATCTCAGTTTCAAAAGAATGACAAGATACCAAGTGGGCAACCAAAAACAAGATAGACTGTAGAATTGTTAAACAGAAAGACTTGAAAAAACAAAATAATGACTCGTTACAACTAACAACAAGTTGAACAATAGACCCCAGATATGTTCATTCTTTTTATTTTGCTGATCCACATAAACGGTTTAAATTTGAACCGCACAAAACTGGTAAAATTTATCCTCACAATATTTGTATATTGTAAATTTTCCAATAGAACAGCAATGGAGATGAGCACAGTAACTATAAATAGCAAACAAAAATAACAAAATTTTGAGTGCATTTAGGTACAGTGATTTTTGAAAAATTGACAAAAAATTGCAATTTGTTTATATGTTGTATACGAATAATGCTTTCAGAATTTAAAATAAGAGTTTTAATATTGCAATACGTTTTCTGTTGCAATTTTTCTGAATTTACAGTAAAATGAGACCTAAGTTATCAATACACGAACAATTATACTGAAACTGGCACAATATTCCCGTAAAATACCAGTAAATTGTAAATTTCCCTATAGAACGGCATCTGATATGAAACAGTCAACACGATACAGTTTTTTTTTGTTTATCTATTCCCAAAGTGATGGTCACGTTAGTTAAGTTAACACAGGATCAATACTAACAATTTATAACTATTGTTTCCATTAAGTCGGATATCCATATTTTCGATTTGTAAAAACTTGTTGTCAAAGTCAATACACTTCATTGATCCAAATTCTCATTCTAAGAATTAAAGACTATTATGTTACCATTGCATATTTACCAAGGTTTTAAAATTTTACTAAATTTTTCTCCTTTAAAATAATGTTTATTTTTTAGGCTTGTTTACTAAAAAAAAAAAAGCCAGAATGTTTAATTGGTTTCAAATTCCAAATTGACCATGACTTAGAGGGGCAGGTCCAATGACAATGTGTACTAAGTTTCAAGCTTATTTGACCACAACTTTACAGTAAACTACCTTTTTAGCCATTTCTTTCTACATAATAATTGGAATCACTTTTTTTCTGAATTTACAGTACCCTTTTTTCGTGGATTGAGGATAAATTGTCTATTTGTTTAATTCTGCATACAAGCCTATACAAAAACAAAAACTGATATTTTGTTGAACCTTTAAATCCATGGTTGACCTTTACCCATCAAATCCATAAAAATCGGTATCCTACAAGTATCAATGAATCCACAGTATAGGACTAATGGACAGACAAAAGGAGGAAAACCAAATAACATAATGCCCCTTTCTATACAGGGCAGGGCATAAAAATATCGTTAAAAATTGCTTACATCCCCACTTTATTTGAACTTTGGTGGATAGTTGTCTCATTGGCAATCATACCTCGTCTCTTTATTTTAATCTTGTTTAGATACAGATACCAGTTATCACATAGAATTGATATTATTTCTGGAATGGGTATGAATTTAAAGATTTTTTTACGATAGAACGAAAAGGTTGGGTTGCGATTGAAATATAGGATAATGCTGGATTCAATGTTAGAAAGGGATACAACAAAAATTTTCTCCAGATTTTAAGGCGAAAATGACAATACTATCAAATTGTGTGGCAGAATATCATGGAAGTTTTGATTTTTATAAGATTCATCTTGTCGCTCATTTAAAATTAATAAAAAAAAAAAAAAACCATGGCATTAGTATGGTACCAAGAGTATTCCATTCAACTGGCATTGAAAATAAAACTATATCCTGATATTGGAAAAAAAATTAATGCTCGTGCATGCAATCATATAATAACCAATATCTGAAAAGAAAAACAATAATCAATAGCTATACACATGTACATACCCGAGCTATGATAAATCCATATTCTTTCTTGCACCTATAACACCTAATTAAAGTCGATAGGAATCAGGGCCACCTGAAAAATTTACCATATAAGCTTGTAATAACATACATTCCTTATTGCGTACAATCAAAAATCAATGCCCAATCAACCAATCATCTAGCATCTTTGACAAATTGAAATTACGATGATATTGGGAAATAAAGCACAATCTCGGACTGACATTTCAATAACTAAAGAGCTCTTATCATTCTACGCAGTTTTTAAGTATAAAACTGCCGCAATTGTGTTTTTGTTTTAGAATTTCTAAAACTTTATGTAATTCTACATTTTTAAAGGTCTAGGGTAATATTTTCTGATTATTTTTGCCATTTGCCATTCCAAATGACTTCAAAGTAGTTTATTTGTTGAAATATTTCATCTTAATGTCAAATTTATACAATATTAAGGTCAGGTTGACTTATTTTATTATTGTATACAAAATCAGGATGCTGAACTGCAAATAGCTAAAACTGAACTTTAATAGTTCTACCGATATTAAACGGTGCAAATTAGAATATATAATAGGTCTTTGATAGTTTGGACGAGTGGTTTATATGACAAGAAGTAATCACAGAATCAATAAACTACACTATCTCAGGCTCTGCTTAATCAGATATTCAATAATGCTATTTATAGAAAATACCTATAGAAAAAGAAAAAAATTCTCAAAAACTAAGAAATTACAATGTTATATCATAAAAGAAATTTCTATGACTATGCCAACTGCATAAAAGAATACTCCTGTTAATTAGGCTGAAATAATTTATAGAAGCCTTCCTGTTAAAAATCTGGTTTGTTAGTCAACTACTTTTCATTAAACATTTCTTTTATATACATAAACATACCACTGTTAATCTGCAGAACTTTAGCTTTTACATGTCCATTTACATTACAATATTTCTTCCAGTTAAATCTCCCTGCATATATTTTGATGATGCACAATGATTGCACTAGTTGTTTTTCAACAAATGACAGTATTTATAAGAAGACCTCACCAAATTCCTCTATATCTTATAACTCTTAACATTACTGAAGTTGATGACCAAGGTCTGTCACTGGTTAGTAGGCCTTCCTATTACAATCGGGGCCTCGGTGGCCGAGTGGTCTAAGTAGTCGAACTACTGTATCACTAGCCTGTCAACACTTAGGTTGTTAATTTGAAACTCGCACGTGGCAGGTGCACTCGACTTCAATCTTAATTGACTAGGACTGTCAGTTTTCCTACCGAAGGTCTGTGATTTTTTCCGGGTACTCCAGCTTCCTCCACCAATAAAAACTGACTGCCATGAAATAGCATAATAGTGTTGAAAGTGGCGTTAAACACCAATCAATCAATCGATCCAATTACAATCAAGATGAAAAACAGCAATAAAAAATTTGTTATCTTCTTGAGTATAGCATGGGCTTGTTGTCTGATGAAATTAAACATATATTCAATGTTTCTTACTTATCTTAAATTTGCTTAAAAATAGATTAACCCATGAACCTGTGAACACAGAGGTAAACATATTTTGCTCTTTTTTCTTTAAATCCTTAATATGAATTTAAAGTGGTGTGCAACTTTTTTGCTGTTTTATCAGTCAAATGGGTTGACATTATTCATTACTGCCAGAAACACATTTTGATTGCTTAGACAGTCTAAAGTTGTGTGCAACTTTTTCGCTATTTTATCAGCCAAATAGGTTGTCATTATTCATGACTGCCAGAAACACGTTTTGTTTGCTCAGTCTGTATCAGAAACTGCACGTGTCCGAATCTATTTGGAATCTGTTACATGTGTTCTTATCAATTATTTCTAATGTTTGGAAATGCATTACTTTGTCATGTTTCATTCCTTTATCTAATTCAGTTGTTATTTTTCATTTCAGTAACATGTAAACATCGTACTTTAAGCTATGCTGTAATCAATTTGACAACTTGGAAGGATAAATTTATTCAATAAACTCACTTCTACAAGATGGGAATAAACGTCAGAAACAAAATTTCACCAAATAAATTGAAAGTGAGTTGATACGGCTCAAAACCAATAAAGTGAGAATTTGTAAGAATTAAATCCTCCATCGATCTGTCAGTTACGTTAAATTTCATTAAAATCACTTTCAAAAGAGAAGGAAATTTTCAATTAAGGAACTTGCATTATAAAGGCAATAACATTATTATCAAATTTAAATGCCATATCCAACCTCATAAACATATTTGGGAATTTTACCCTGTTCACTGACGAATTCAAAATAACAACACTGTCATAAATGACATATTTCAATAGAAAATGTATAACACATTAAACTTAAGTAAAAATAAAGATAGGTTTTTGTGCTTGATTTTTAGATTAATAAATTTCAAAAGTAAAGAATGATGGTTGAAAAAAAAATGTTTTGTATATTTTATGAAAAAATAAGGGGAAAAATGAGGTTTCTGTGTTTGTGTGTTTGTTTGTTGGTAACCAACATCCAGAGGTCAACCTAATCTTCAAAAATTTAGACAGATGTCTTAAAATATGTCAAATTCTAAATTGAACCACATTACACAAAAAATTGTAAATAAATTTAACAAAGAGATCTGCCATTAACACCAATCCCCCCCCCCCAAAAAAAACAACCCAAAATAAAAAAAACCTAACATCACAGGATATGACAGCTTTTCTTCATATACTGATTGTTTAACGTGTAGTAAAATCTGTATTGACTGATCTAATTCAGCCTAAGGATTTTGTTCTGACTACCCAGATTGGTCAGTGAAAGATTTACTTTCTACAGGTTATATAGTACATTTTGTAAGTATATTGCCTCCAGTTTTTGGTGGATTTCGTGTTGCTCAGTATTTGTTTTTCTATGTTGTGTTTTGTATACCATATACTGTTGTTTGTCTTGATCATTTTTCATTTTTGTCGAATAAAGCGAGACATAGCGATCCTACATTCCGCCGTCGTCGGCGGTGGCGGTGGCATCCACAAATATTCACTCTGTGGTTAAAGTTTTTGAAATTTTAATAACTTTCTTAAACTATCCTGGATTTCTACCAAACTTAGAAAGAAGCTTGTTTATGATCATAAGATAATATCCAGAAGTAAATTTTGAAAAAAAAAAATTCCATTTTTTCCGTATTTTACTTATAAATGGACTTACTTTTTCTGCCAGTTAACATTACATTCACTCTGTGGTTAAAGTTTTTGAAATTTTAATAACTTTCTTAAACTATCTTGGAATCGTACCAAACTTGGACAACATGTTGGACAGAAGCTTGTTTATGATTAAAAGCTAGTATCTAGAAGGAAATTTTGTTAAAAGTTTGTTCCATTTTTTCCGTATTTTACTTATAAATGGACTTAGTTTTCTTCCAGTTAACATTACATACAGTCTGCAGTTTAAGTTTTTAAAACATTTATTAGATTCATAAACTATCCTGGATTTTTACCAAACTTGGACAGAAGCTACTTACAATCAAAAGATAGTATAGAGAGGAATATTTTTATTATTCTATTTCCTCATTTTTGTTGAGCCTGCGATTAACAGCAAAAGTAGGCGAGACACTGGGTTCCGAGGAACCCTTACGAATTTTTTGCCAATTGGCATCATCATTTTTTTTCGACTAATGAATTGGTTCCTTTCGCTTCTCTTTGTCAGCTAAGTTGGTCATAAATTTTTCTGTGTAAAAAATATATATAAATTATAACTTGTTAATTACCGTAACTCTTTCAATCATTTTTGTCATACGCACTAATTATTTAACAATGTAATAATTTAAAATTACCAGAATTTCTCTTTTCAATTCCAAACTGCACAAATTTTAAACTGGTTTCGAACAATTCCTTGCTATTAATCCATTATGTCTACCTACAAAAGAAAACAATCAATGTTTTAAAACCTTCAGTATCAAAATAACACATTGTTTGTCTATGCTTAAGGCAGTTAAAATATGTTTGTAAATATTTTATTTAATCATCAAATTATAAAATGTTTTCTTTACAGGTGGTTGTTATTTAGATGACCAGATAATAAGTATAAGTAAAAGAAGATGTGTTGTAAATCAGTGGAGACAGCTACCTAACAACATAAAAAATTCTTAAAGGGTTCTTAGGAACCCTTTGAGTTGCCTGTGATATCTGCTTTCATTGTTAAATTGTAATGTTGATTAACAAAAAAACTATTAGTCCATTTATCAGTAAAATACATTTTTTTGTGTGTTAAATCAAGCATTTTTCTTCAGATGCTAAACTTTAACATTAGATTGCATCATGATGTTAACTGCGTCTTTTCCATTTCTTAAGAATTGATTGATTAGTGTTTAACGCCACTTTCATCACTATTGTGCTATTTCCTGGCGGTCAGTTTTTGTAGGGGAAAGAGGCAAGGGTGCCCGTAGAGAACCCAGACCTTTGGTAGGAAAACTGACAATCCCAGTCAATTAAGATTGGAGCCGAGCACAGCTGCACATGTGAGATTCAAACTGACAACCACAGTGTTGACAGGAAAGTAATACAGAAGTTCAAATACTTAGACCACTTGGCCACCTTTAAGGCACCTTGTTTCAATAGAAAACTAAAATTTTGTATAAACATTTTCTGTATGAAAAATGAAATCAAATAAATGTTAATGATTCCATTAAATTTATTAATCTTCCTTAACATATTCCTTTTTAATTTTGTTTAAACACTTTCTGTTTATATAAAATGAAATAAAATAATTTTTTGTGGTATCCTGGATTTATTCAGATAGTACCAGTAGGTGTGACAAGTAAAGTACAGTTGTCTTTTCAACTTTTGGTCTTTGGATGTTCGTAGAATGTCAAGGCTCTCCTGACTCCATTATATCTATTAATCTTCCTACATATATTCCTTTTTATATACTTTAATTATCTCCATCACCAGCATGATATTGATTATAAATATAAACTCCTCAAGCTTTTCTTGCATGTCTATGGTTGCAGATATCTAAAAATGCACCTTTTCAAATGTTAATTATTATGTCGCAGTCATAATTTCTGACAAATAATTGATCGCTATCTGTGACAGATCTTGCTCCTAGCCAATTTTGATTAGAAAATCAATTTCAATAGCAAATACCCATTCTTCTCTGCCTTTAATGGGAAATAATAACAAAATCTTGACAAATTGGAAGAGTAATGAAGACATGTCCTAGATATCAGACAAAAATCCCATGGAATATCAAAAATCCCATAGAATATCAAAAATCCCATGGAATATCAAAAATCCCATAGAATATCAAAAATCCCATAGAATATCAAAAATCCCATGGAATATAAGGAGGTAACCAAACATCACAGAACAGTGCTTTGATTGCTGTTCTTCATATGGATAGTTGCTGGGAGTTTTAAACAATATTGAGTCTATAAAGACAGTTTGCTGAAGCCAACATTTATTCTACCATTTATAATTATTGAACAGTTTACTGTTTCCTGAAGGGACAAAAGTTCCCTGCCCAGTGAACAGCAATAGAGTGTTTAAAATATCATTTGCCTGAGAACCCTGTTAATCTTAATCCTTTTACTACTATAATTCACTTTTTGTTGGAGAAATATTAAAAAAGAATAGTGTGTAAAAAATTGAAATTAATCGGTCTTACAAGAAAAATTTGTGTCCCCTTTACTCGTAATGGGACAAGGAACTTATTGTCCCATTGTCATGCTGGTCTTGCCTTTACAAATAAAGATTTCATTTTGTGATCAAATTTTCACCAAATTGACTTAAAGGAAGAGCAAGATTGCATCCAATGAGAAAAATTTTTACAAATTTACCTGAAAATAACAAATATATCAACGGAAAGAGCATATATGGATGTTCTTCATCGACCAGAAGAATTGGCTTTTGGTCAAGTCTCGTCTGATAAATTCTCTTTTCGTCTGTAATATCTGTCCAATATGTGATGTTTTAACGTAAAAATGAATGCCTTTATCTAAGGACACACCATTAACAGTATATCTATTACAGTTTGGAAGATGTTTAAAAATTGGAATTATATAAGATCTCATCAATCATGCATTTTTGTCAGTTGCTAGAGCTTTACATTCATAAATACAAGCATCAATAAATGAATCGTAGAGACTAGATATTTCAAATCACTTTCAATTCTGAAAAATTTCCAAGTAGAGACAATACAACTGATTTGTTCAATCATAGAACTCGAATTAATCCTTTTAATTTGACAGCTATCCAATTTCTGTCAGCTTCTAAACTCTAAATATCATCAAAAATAGCAATACATATTTTCTTATTAAAGATAACAGGGCAAAGACCTTCCTTCTTTGTTTGATTTTGTCCATTGACTCTTAATTCTAGGAGATGATAATAGCTAGTATATGATATAGAGTATGCTCAGTCAATTTGTTGTCTCATTGATAAGACATTCAACTGTCAATGGAAGTTCAGAACACGAGAACATCATTATATGAACACCTGCCTTAGATAGGTTTAAAGGATATTGAATAACTGAAATCCATTTACAATGGAGAAAATCCTAATGTCTCATTCAGCTTTTATTACATTACAGGCTTTCGAAAGGTCAAATTTATATCATATAGAAATGATTCAAGTGGTGTGGTTCCACTGTCTACTTTTAAATTGAAACCATTTTTATTAACCAGGTAAATAGGTGAATTCTATAGCATGATATATATATAGTTTGTTAGTCTTGTGTGTTTTTAAAATTTTGGTTCATTTGTATGTTTCAGAGTTTAGTGTGGCGTCAATTTCGCTAAACTAGTATATACATTATTGTTTAGGGGCAAGTTGAAGCCCGGCTTCTAATTTGGGATTTACTCTCTGCATTGGAGATTCATTGGTGACCTTCAGCTGTTTCCTGCTCTTTGGTTGGGTTGTTGTCTCTTTGACACATTCCCTATTTCCATTCTCTATTCTATAATGTCATTTTTTATGATACTAAGCAAACTTCTGACCACCGAGGAGCCTGAGGAGCACCTGAGTTCAGTCCATGTTTTTGGTGGGACTCCTGTTACTCAGTATTTAGTTTTCTGTGAAGTGTTTTGTGGATGATTTTTTTTTATCATTTTCTTTAGTCAAAGGCAATTTTCAGACGATTATTAGTATCTTCTGCCTCCCCCTCCCCCTTTTTTAAGTAAAAATCATGTTAAGTGAGAGTTGTTGTTGTTTATGTTGAGGGATCATTAAGGATTAATAACTAAAAGGCATTTAAAAAGGGGGAACACCATAATGTCTTGTTCAGTTCTTTTAATAAAAGTACAGAGATTTTCTCTCTAAAAAAGGAGATGTATTCTCCCTGTCAGTAAGCTGGTCTTTAGAGGGAGATATAGGGAGATTTTCTGTCAAAAGATGTGAGATCTGTTACCCCTGTCAGGAGACCCAGGTCTTCAGAGGGAGTAATGGGGATATTTTCTCTACATAGGGGGGAGATCTGTTCTCCCTGTGAGAAGACTGAATTTCTGAATTTGAGGCTCCCATCTATATTTTGAGGGGCGACTCCTGCAGGAATGTTGTCTTGTGTGCACCCACCCAATTTCCTTTCTTGTCAATGTATTCTAATAAAGATAAATGATTGTGTATGAAACTCATCCAAATTACCTTTCTCAAATAAGATGTGAAAATATTAAGCTACTAATAATATTCAAAGATATATAGAAGCTAAATATTTACCTGTCCACAGAGAAAACTATATCCATTACAGATATATATATTTCCCACAGTAAATTACCCAATTTCTTATTTTTGTTTGTAATCCTTTTGGTACAACAAATTATTCTTCAAATAACAAAAGCTACAGATGATAAAATAAACAAGATACGTGGAAAAATATTTAGATTTTACCTGAGTTGAAAAACATACACCATGTTTAAAGATTTTAATTCAGTGACCATGAAATCTTTGTTCATCCATAAAGAATTTCAGTCTTTTGTATAAACTTCGTGATAGGCTTTCTATACCCCAGGTGAAAATTAAACCTTAGCTGTGACGTGGATCTTTAAATTTCTTCTACGTCATAAATCCTTTTATAAGTATTTTTGTTGGTGATAATAAATTTTTGTGTGAAGATCTTTTCAAGTGTTTAAATTTAAAGATAATTTCGTATTTATAAATACTGTACTGCATGGATACTTTCTTTGTAAAGTTCTTATCCTTTTTTCCTCTCTTTTGTACATTAACACAGTTACTTTTTCTTCATATCATAAAAGGTGCTACCTGAAATGGAGAGTTATATATATAATAAGGACAATTAATTTGACAGTCACAGTTTTTAACTTTTATGCACCCATAAAAGACATATGCTTGGGTAAACCAGCTCCTTAATGTTGCACATGTAAGAAAGTAATCCTAAGAGGATATATACCTTAAGAGATATTTGAAAGATGTCTAGCACAATATCATAGTATAAGTAGAAACTTGAAGGAAAACGAAATAATTGAAACATGTCAACTGCAATTTAATAAACACAAAATTTTGTATGTAGTTTTGGTGAAGCTGTCTTATTGTTTCTCTTAGGAAAAGTACAAGAAATGAAAAACAGAAAATTAACAAAAATGTTGCACAAAAAGGGTTTAAAATGGTTGTGATGTTAAAATTTACTATTATTATCATAGGATCTCTTCACAATTTTCAGTTTATGAAAAGAACAAACATTAAAATGAACAAATTTTGAGGCATTTAATAATTGATGCATAATTTGTTGCCAAAAAACCACAGCTTATAACAATCTTATTTGTTGAAAATTTCTTCATTATTTTATTTTAAATTTCACTTACAAAAGAATCTCAATAAAACAAATAAGAAAAGACCTATATCTTCACTTGGAAAATAAATAATAATCCCTCCATTGTCCATTGTGATTTAAATTACTTTTCAATATAATGTATGAAAAAAGATCAGATAAAGATCTATGTTTTCACGTTTGGTAAATATACTTGTTTTTATGTAAGTTGTTTTTGGGGCTCATATTGATCTTTTGAGCTAAGCCAATTGCAACTGATTTTTACAGTTTGTTCTTATGTTGTGCTGTTACACCACTGTCTTAGGTTAGGGGAGGGTTGAGGGCTCACAACCATGTTTAACCCCGCCACATTCTTTAAGTGCCTGTCCAAAGTCAGGATCCTGTAGTTCAGTGGGTGTCATTGGTTCATGTCTGTAATATTTGTTTTTGGTAAATTTTATTACAAATTAGGTCGTTAGTTTCCCCGTTTGAATTGTTTCACATTTGTCATGTCACGGCCTTAGCTGACTATACAGTAGGGTTTTACTCATTGTTAAAGGCTATATGGTTGCTTTTAATTGCTTACTGTACATCCACCTCATTTGAGCGCTGGTGGAAAGTTGTCTCATTGGCAATGATACCACATCTCCTTATTTCTATATTTAACAAATGGTAAGCCCATTTTATACAGTATGAGAATAAAAGTCCTTCTTTTGTTTTTTTTTTTTAATTGTAATTAATATATCAAATAAATTTGTTTATAATTAGTTTGAGCAGTTTATTATTAATTAAACAAATTTGTTTAATTAATTTGAGCTCATTTCTTCTGATTTTCAAGAGATTTTCACTTGCAATCTCAGAAATATTTGCAGTTTCTTATTTTTTATTTGTAGGGCTCGACAGTTTTGTAGCAACTAGAATATTACTACCTTATAGTCGTTTCTGGCTCATTTCAATAAATATCACCGGTATGTAAAAATTGTATGCGATCCTTTCACAGTAACTGCATGTGCATTGGAATTCACTGCATGTCTTATAGGATTGCAAGTATATGCTTTATTTTAATCACTTTGCACTTTCATGACTTGATGGTGGTTCTTCTACATCAGTTTGTTAGAATTTCTGACCTAAGTTGAACAGTTTGATTTGATGAAACAAATTGCAATTGAGCTAGAATTTTCAACAAGCTGCAATAGGTGGAGAGAAACACTTACAATGAAGTCACTGTAAAAGAATACAAGATTTTGGGCTTGACATATATATTGTATAGACATCTGTTTTAATTGCTGATCTCGTTTTTGTCCCTTATGTTGTTGGTTTCTGTCTTTTTTGTTTTACAATTTTCTTTTGTTCCGACTCTCTCATGTGGCTGCTTTTTTTTCGTGGAAATTCTATTTTTAGTAGCATTTACAAGGTTAAAGGCATTTATTAACATACTATCACCTCTGTTTTCGAGCTACACACGATTATTCAGAACCTCCAAGGCAAAAAAGCTATCATAATTAAGTACAAAGCAATATTCCTTATATGTTTATTATCAAACTGGGAAATTAAGGCACAAATACAGATATCATAGGTCTCAAAAGAGATATGTTCCTGTACAGATCAGTTATAATGGTATCCATATATATGTAGTCAGAGGTCAAAATGTTTCACAACTCAAAAATACTTTTACATGTTTCACATGAAAACACAATTATAAAAAATAATTGTCAAAAAATTAAATTTTGACTCTTCAACTCATAAATGTGTACAGTTTTCACTGCTTTTTTTTATGAAATATCTTTATGACATGCCATTACTGAGAAATCTTTAGTTAAATACACAGTAATCATTAAACTCATTTTCAAAACTTCAGTGTATAATAATTGTCCATTCCTTCATATAAGAAATGTGCTTGCATTAACCTGCTTCAGATTATAGTTAAAAAAAAAAAATTCTTTTTGTATATTTTGTTGCTATTTTGAAGTAGTTCAGTATATTGTGTGCATGCATGGTTTTAATCAAAATGGTAGAAACAAAACACCAAAATAAGGTCGATACAATCTTAGCCTGTTTGTACTGTAATATTCATTTCTACTATTGTTTAGAGGCCACATGCATATATATATGTTGACCCCAATATGTTGCTTGTTTTAATTTGTTGCTAATGATTGCAGAGTGTTTCACTACCATATACACCTCCCATATCCTTTTATTCATATAAGAAAATATAAATGTCACAATTTAGTTACTAACAAATCGAAATTCATATTTTTTTCTAATCAATGCAAAGATCAAGATTGTGGGTGCATTTGCTTATAGTAACTATTTACATAGCCTTATTTCCAAGGGAAGTTTTAAACAAGGCATAATAACCTTTATTTAAGTAGCTTCATTAATTTCAAAGATCAAACTGACACTTGATTGTTATTGGGTTAGAAAACTTTCTTTACAACATACTGTGAAGTCAATAAGTAAAAGTTGTGTATTGATTTGATGTCTGTGTCATGAGAACGTTTTCTAAAGCTTTACAGTTCTTAGAACTTCCTGCAATCTAACAACATATAATCAATATCTATGTCTTAATGCTAGCTTCTATCAACTATAAATTTATGATGTAAAAACAATAACTATTTCATTTCCTTCTGATTTTGTCCTCAGCTAATTCACTCTATCTTTAATGCCTTATTTTGCAATTTTTGAGACAATAAATATCTGATTTCAAATAATCACAAGAAAAAAAAAAGATTAATCAATTATTTTTTTGGTAATCAAAGGGAGATAATCATTGCTTTTGATAATTGAATTTCCTACAAAATTCTTATACTGAAAGTTTTCCAACAGGCAAAATTGCAGAATTTTAGAATTTTAGAATCACTTTATTTGGTGTCTTTGATAAGAGTGTTTCTTATAATATTAATTTGTTTCTATTTCGGAAACACATGTCTCATCCAATACAATTACTTGTGAACTCCCCTAATGTCAAATTTTTGTCTGTCATACAGGTCAGTTTTTTTTATTTTTATAGAAAACTATGTACAACATCTTTGTGGGGATATTAAAAGCTGACTTGAGGATCTAGTTAGAACTGACATTTGTTTAAAAAAAAAAAACAACAGAAGACAAGCTTTAAAAAACATTGAGCTTAGTTTTTCAATTACCTATGAAAAATACTACAATCAACATGATCAATACATTTTAACTTTACAAATAATCAGTTCTTCAGAATATATTGTAAAACTAAACATCAGCTGTTCAACATAATATGAACTTGTTTATCTAAAAATAAGAGAAGATGTGGTATGAATGCCAAGGAGACAACTATCCACCAGAGACCAAATAAAATACATGTAAGCAACTACATATATATGTTTAGCTTGTTAACAGCTCTCTTTCATCTTTCATTCACTATATGAACATATGGAAAACCTAATGAGTCATCTAAAATCAAAGAAAATTTGCATTTTTGGGGTGTGAAATGAACGTGGAAATTCCACCGATATACTGTAAACCATAGAAAGTTGTTAGATCTTGCACTGAAAAACAAATACCCATGAGAATAAGCTAGTTATTATGAAATAATAAAATTTCAATGATATTTCTTACTTTAAAAGCTACAAAAATAGTTCTTTTACAGAAATAATTGACTTATAAATGTTTTGATCTGACCTTGCTTGGTGTGTTTTTAATGTTGAATAAAGTACAATTTATAATATTACCATTAGAAAAAAACCTTTATCTTTATTTCTACTTTATAAAGGAAATAAATTTTTTCCATTTTCAAAGGTTTCTTCCAAAATCACACAAAGTTCTTCTTCACGGATATGCGACAACCTGTCAGCATTGTCGGCAAGGGAGATAACTCTTTGTTCACTCAGTCCTTCAGCATAATATGATTGCAGTAAAAGTCTATTTAACGGAACCACCTCTACTGCTCGCAACTGATCAAAAGTGAAATCTTTGATATTGTTTAGGAAACTGAAATATGTGTTTGGAAAAGTGTTTATCCAATGATAAACGATATCCGCTGTACCATGGAAATTACAAAGATGAATCTTTTGTTTCTTTTTACACCACAGTTTTACTATATATAGTACATCTGTATAAGCCTTTTTGC